CTGGCATTAGACTTTGGACACTTCTGCCTCCATTCCACCCACTTGCAGGCTGGAAGCGTCGAACGACATGCCGGATTGATGATAGAGTAAACATGAAATGATCGCGAGTGACCACCACGGGTTAAGTACATCCTTCACCTGCCTCCCGCCAATACTACGGAAAACTGCGCGTCGTGCGCACCGCCAACAGTCTCCTTTGTGCATTTCCCAATATCCACGTCCGCACCAGAAACAGTCTTCAGTCATGAAAATGAAGAGCATGATGCAGTCACTTGCAGTTTTAACGGCCCTCCTACAGTCGCTCCACGTCGTTGCCCAATCCTCCACATATACCACCAGCATCATCACGACCTGCATTACTGTCACACCGAGTATTGCAACACCCACCAAGTCTTTCCATGTGCCAGACACTGCTGTCACCGTCTTCGTTCCCGACTGCTTCCAATGCGACTGCGCAGTATGCGTTCACACGACCCGCCTCACAACCACCCTGTCTGCCTTCTGTCCTACCGGCATCGTTGACAGGCCTTACGTGGTCGAGCATGTCTATTCCGGCATGTCAGCCATCCCGACAATGACGGACCCGACCTTTATTCTTGCAGGCTTTACCACGGCGGTAGAGACGTGTACCAGTTGCGGCCCAGAGCCCATCACAGCGACGCTGACCTTCCCTAATGGAGGCAGTCCCTATGCGCCCGAAATGACACAAGCCGCCGCGCCCTCAAGAGGTATCAAACACGGACCTGATGATTGGGTAGCCACTGGGCCTTCTAGGGGTACAGAGCATGGATCTCACGATGCGACGGTAGTCGAGCCTCCAAGTGGCGCTGAGCATGGGTCACAGGGCGAAACAACCCCCGACGCTCCAGATGTCGTCTACACGGCTGGTGCCGATACGCTTTGCAGAATCGGAGGTGTTCTTCTGTCTCTTTTACTTCTTGTTGCATTTTAGGTCAGCAAGCTCGATTGGTTCATGTCACATTATACAAATCTTCCATATGCTCCTCTCGAGCGAGATAGGTCTGTGTAGTCTATCCTATCGTACAACTGGTTTTTCCACAAAGAATTGAAAGAATCGCAACACACTTCGTATGGTTGGAAAGAGGTCGCAATGTATGTCGAAGCCAGGCTGTGATGGACCGCCTATGCCCTTGCCGATTCCTGTCAATTTTTCCCTCGCCATATCGATGAAGCCAAGTCGCTAATCGAAATCAATTGGATCTTTCTCGACATAAACTTGTATTCGCTGCCATTGCCTTGGTGTAAGGGATGCGAAATGTCCAGCTCAGGGGGTGAAGGAATTCCGCGTGGGAGCACGGGTGCTGACTAAGCTCAAGACTGGCATCTCATCATTCAACTTTAACAGCTCCAGATCTCACCATCTTGCCTCCAACCATTGAATCAGCCTACGCTCATTGTTCCTACTTGGCCTCTAAGCTCTTTCGTATCTGGAACTTCAGTCGAACTGAGCTCACAGTACCCGTCATCATGTCCTCCCGCTTCGTCTCCGGCGGCAAGATTGACGCTGAGACGGGCGAGGTCGTCACTACAGACGCCAGCGACAAGAACACAGCCCAAGAGACGCGCAGCAAGGGCAACGCCGAATGGGAGGCTGTGCAGCGAGAGCTCGATGCCGAGAGGCGGCGAAGGGAGGAGGCAAGGGCGAAAGCCGTCGAGGGCGGGCGAGAAGAGCTTGTACGACGTGCTACAAGCGAACAAAGGTCGGTTGCAGCCTCTGTCACTCGGCCCCTTCAGACTGTCTGCCGAAGGAATGCTTACAAGGATGCAGCGGCCAAGGAGGCGGCGTTTGAGGAGGCGAACAAGATTCGTAACCAGTTCCGCGCTTTGGATGATGACGAGATTGACTTTTTGGACGAGGTGAGGGAGAAGAAGAGGATGGAGGAGGAGAGGGTCAGAGAGGAGACGACGGAAGGACTGAAAGCTTTCCGTGAGAGACAGAAGGTGCAAGATAAGACCCCTGTCGATGAGGAGTCTAAGCCAGAAGATGATGGGACCGACGAATGGGCTGTGGGGAGGAAGAGGAAGAGAGAACGCGGTTCTGAGGTGAAGGGGCTGGCCAGGAGAAGGGTGAGCGAGGGTGGCAAGGGCGACAACAAGACTGGCGATGGAGGCAATTCCGCCGATTCTGCCACGGCAGCAGCCCAGCCAAGGACTACAACCAGCGTCACAACCACCACTACTAAGCCAACAAGTGCGAGTCCACCGCCACCAAAACTGGGACTGGTGGCATATGATTCAGATGACGATGAGTGAAGGCCAGGAGACAGAACAAAAGGGGAGACTCATTATCTCCATCTGGTCGCCAGATGGTACTCTAGCGTCGATCAAGCTCCCAACACCAAGGCGGAGCCTATACTGTACATCCAAATCGCCTCGAAGTCATGAACCTCGGGCACACCAAGCGTATCATACATTAGGTAGTCACACAACCCCTTCCACAACGACCCCTCTTCGTTCAAGCATCATCGAGGTTACCAACGTTGGGTCCCTTGTTCTCTGCCGCGAACGCCGACATGCCCCACTGAGCGATGGAGCGCAAGCTGCCCTTGATGAAACCCTCAATCTCCTCTTCGGGCACGACAATCGCTCTCGCACGCGCCTCATCCTCGGGCTGAACCTCGAATCTCCTCATGCGCGAGGCGATGCGGGTGTCCAGCACCATCGACTCCGGCCAGACCTTCTCCCGCGGCGGCTCCGCCTCCTTACCCTCCTCTGGCGCCTTCTCCTCCTCCCACACGCTCTTGACCCAGTTCTTCTCCTCGTGCGCCAGGACACGCTGCTGTTCGAGCTTCAACTCGTCGTCATCCGAAGACACGCCGGGCTCGCCCTCACGCCACTCGCGGTGCGCAGCAAAACAGGCAGCGGCCACCTCGCGACCGATATCATCAGCCAGGGCGCGGCGATTCAGGAAGCGCTTGAGTCGTGTAAACGTATTGAAGAAGCCGAGAATGTGAGGGAACTGAATGGGAGCCGCGGGCGCGAGCTGTTCGGGCAGCGTGGGCGGGAGGTGGGCGGCAGCGTAGTCGGCAGTCGAGTTGTAGGACGGTGGCTGGGGCGGGCGCTTCTTCTTCTCTTCCTCCTTCTTCTTCTCCTCGGCGGCCTTTTCCTCGGCAGCCTTTTCTTCGGCGGCCTTGGCGTCGGCGGCCTTCCTCTCGGCCTCTTCCACCGTCTCGGCGATGGCGTCGGCGACGGGCGTGACGACGGGCTCGGCGGAGAGCACAGGCTCGGGCTTCGTTTCGGGCTCGGGCTGCGCCGGGGCGTCGAGGGGCCCTAGCCAACCCTCGTGCAGGCCGCGGATATACTCCTTCCAGGCGTTGCGGCCAATGACGATGTCGCCGGCGTCGCCCTGGTACTCGGGGATCTGGTTCTTCGCGCGCACGGCGTCACGGACGTTCTCCTCCGTAGGCAGCAGCTCCTCGTCCGGCCGCTCGGCCAACCGCCTCTTGCGGCGAATCTTCTCGGCGACGGCGGCACGCACGTCGCCCTGCTGGCGTCCCTGGACAAAGTCCCAGTCGAGGCCGGACGCCGCCAGCACGGGCTTGACGTATTCGATAAAGTGGTCCTGGGCGACGCGCAGGCCCTCGCCGGGCGGGGCCTCGAGGAGAACGGTCAGCTTGCGCGGCAGCTGGGAGGGGTTGTCGATGGGTTCGGTGGCGAGCGGGGCGACGGCACGGGCCCAGCGGGCTGTGGCACGCTTCTTCTCGCGCTTGTCATAGATGACGGCCGCGGAGAAGGCCGTCGTGATGGTCAGGAAGATGGTCCAGTTGCGCGAGGGGAGCTTCTTGGGGAGGTTGGGGATGCCGAGCATGCGGAGGGCGGGGTTTCTCTCGGGGACTTTGTAGCCTGGTGCCTTGGTATGTGTTGTCGAGGTAGAGGCGGCTGGGGCGGTGCCAGGGGTTGCGGCCTGTGTTTGGTGACAGGTGAGCATGATGCATCTCGCGATGGAACGATGATTAGATGGGGTTTGGATCAAGGACGTACCGAAGCCGGCGCAGGCTCGACGGGAGGTTTTGCGTCAGCCATTGCGATAGATCGTCTTGAAAATGGAGGCCCTTTGATATCTCTTCTTGAGAGAACGAAGGTCGTGATGGACAGTCGCTCGTCACACGTCACGTCTGTTTGGATAGATGGTCACCAAGGGGGGAAAACGACAGGAAATTTTGACGCGATAAGAGCTTCACCAAGGCGCGATAACGGCACGGGTCGTTCCAGCCAAAACGGGCGTGGCGGCGAAGCCTCGGCATTTGACGGCGTCCGTGACCGCCTACTGTTCTTAGACTAGCCCATTCTGCCACTCTCAGCTCACAGAGGTCCAATGATGGTCCAATGATATGTGACGATGCTGCCTCAGATCGCTGGTATGTTGATCTTTATCGGCCTGCTGAATTGCTCTCTAGATGGTGTCTCGCGTCTCACCCTGTCCCGATGCCAATGGCCTTTGTAGAGACTGCAAATCTGGGACAGAAGTGTCCCGGAGGAAGAATCTTGCTCCCGAAGTATCTCCTCCCAGACCTGGCCATTACTGTGGGCAGCTGCTGCAGCCAAGAGATCTAGAAAAGCCTCATCCTGTCGAAAAGACGCCCTGAGTATCTGGAAAGCAATTGCCGAGGAATTTCCAGCTTGTCAAGCATTTTACAGAAATGGTTGTGCGCTAGGGAGACTGCCGGCCTCGCTGGATAACCGGCCGGATCACCGACACTGGAAGGGAGCACGAGCTTGAGCTTGTGCTGAAGTGCTGGATGACTGGTGCTTCTCCTCCTGATACCCGGCATCCAAGACAGCATCACCTCCCCGTGGATGCATCACGTACCCATGGATGCATCATGTACCCGATGGTATCAAGGCAGGGAGAGCAGTGCATTCCATCTTTCTTCGGCGCGCGCTGCCCCAACCCCGTAAGAATGGGGAACCATCCGGAGCATTGCGGGCCTCGCAGCTAGAGACAAGCCTTGTCCCAACAGTCGGTGAAAGACGCATGCCTCGATGTTCCATTGACAGGTGCCATGTGCACATGCTGTATGTACCATGGCGGACCGGGACAACTTGCCTCCTTTTTACCCCTCCAATCCACGACACCAATCAGACTGTTCCAACCACACAGCTTCCATTGGACAGCGCCATCGTAAACATCCCCTCCCCCCCTTGCAACCTCGAGGAACCCCGCACGGCCATTCGCATCCAGAGTTCCACCACCAAGATCCATCTCAGGGGTCGAAAGTGCAACGCTACACCATCTGCACCGCACCGCAGCACACTACACACCTTGGACCTCTGTACCCATCATGTTTCGCTTCACAGGGGCTTAGCAGAAAAATCACCTCGCCTTTCTTCCGCTTCCGCTTCCGCTTCCGTTCCTGCGCTCCGTCGCTCCTCTCCGTTCTATCTGGGAGTCCATCCGCCTGCGTATCGCTTCGCATCTGCGCTTCGTGCAGCTGCCAGCTGCCCAGCACTTCACACGAGTTGCAGCAACATCCAAGACATACAGATATAGACGAACAACGACAAGCATCCGAGATAGCGTCTTTCGTCTTGCGTCTGACTAAAACGTAACCCTTGTTTGCGCCTCACTTGTGGCTGAGCGAGCAGCACCATCTACAACAACAGTCAACGTCCAAGCACTCTCACCGATCCGACTGTTGCACTGGCCGTCTGCGGGTCCGTCTTCGATTCGCCCCTCAACCGCGCTCTTCGGCTACCGTAGCTCGTTGGGTAGGAACACCCGCAAGGCCCTTGGTTCCGACTTCATTTGCTGACAGACTTCAATTGTTTAGCCCTCCACCTTTGATCCACCACAGCCATCCGACCTCTGGAGAATACCGTCGACGAACCTCATCAAAGGTCCTTGTCCTTACGGCCTAGGTGTTCGACTGTCTTGCATCCCACCTCTCTCCCCCCCCACCCTTTGCCGAGAGGCATTCCTACCCGACCGATTCTAGCTCTGCCCGCTCATCGCCCCTGAGCCCGCCGACATCATGGACAACAGCAACAGCAACAGCAGCAACCGCCTGTACCTCAACTTCGGAAACGGGAACGATCGCCTTGCACCCTCCGGCGATCGCTCCAACTATCCCACCACGCCCTCGACGTTTCCGCAGCCCGTCTTCCCGCAGTCCTCGGGCCAGCAGCAGCAACCCAACAACCTCCACCCCCCGCAGCAGCAGCAGCAGCAGCAGCAGCAACAGCAGCAACAGCACTACGGCACTGGTTATGCCCCTCCAGGCTACTTTGTGCCTAACCAGTACCCTCCGCAGTACCCCGCCCAGCCTCAGGCCACCGACTTTGCTCCTCAAAATGTCTACCAACAGCGTTCCAACACCCCGGGCACCAACGACCCCAACACTGGCCTCGCTCACCAGTTTTCCCACCAGAACCTAGGAGGTGCCGCGAGGGCTGCTCCCGGCTATGGCGCCCGGGGCGCTTCTCCGGCCCAGAGGCCCCGTACTGCTGGCGCCTCCGGCCAGCCTTCAGGCTACGGGAGCTACCCCGCCGCTCCCATGCCGACGCAGAGCCCAGCGCCGGTCGACGAATTCGCCCGTGCTCCTGAGCGCAACCCCGACAAGTACGGCTCGAACGCCAACAACAACCAGGTCAAGTGCTCCAAGCTTGCTGCCGATTTCTTCAAAGACAGTGTACGACGCGCACGTGAGAGGAACCAGAGGTAGGTTAAGACTCGTATGAGAGGTCCTCAATATGTTGGCCAACACCGCTGACAGGTTCCTCATAGGCAAAGCGAGATGGAGCAGAAGCTTGCGGAGCCCAACCAACCCGCATCGAGGCGTGAGCAAATTTGGTCGACTGGCGGCCGTAAGGAGGGCCAGTACCTCCGCTTCCTGCGCACAAAAGATCGTCCCGAGAACTACGCCACCGTGAAGATTATCGGCAAGGGTGCTTTCGGCGAGGTCAAGCTGGTTCAGAAGAAGCAAGATGGCAAGGTCTATGCCATGAAGTCTCTCATCAAGACGGAGATGTTCAAAAAAGACCAGCTGGCTCATGTGCGCTCCGAGCGTGACATTCTTGCCGAGTCGGACAGCCCCTGGGTCGTCAAGCTCTTCACCACCTTCCAAGATTCCTACTTCCTCTACATGTTGATGGAATTCTTGCCCGGCGGCGATCTGATGACCATGCTTATCAAGTATGAGATCTTTTCGGAGGACATTACACGTTTCTACATTGCCGAGATTGTGCTTGCGATCGAGGCCGTCCATAAGCTGGGCTTCATTCATCGGTCAGTAGGATGACTTTGTTGTTGTGGGACCCTCTGCTAACTTTGTTACTTTTCCCAGCGATATCAAACCCGACAACATTCTGCTCGACCGAGGTGGCCACGTCAAGCTGACCGATTTCGGTCTCTCCACCGGCTTCCAACGCCTGCACGACAACAACTACTACGCTCAGCTAATGCAGGGCCGCTCCAACCGGCCCCGCGACCGCAACTCGGTGGCTCTCGATCAGATCAATCTGACGGTCAGCAACCGTTCGCAGATCAATGACTGGCGAAGGTCGCGACGTCTCATGGCCTACTCCACCGTTGGTACGCCCGACTATATCGCGCCGGAAATCTTCACCGGGCACGGTTACACCTACGACTGCGATTGGTGGTCGCTTGGCACCATCATGTTCGAGTGCCTGGTCGGTTGGCCGCCTTTCTGCGCCGAGGACAGCCACGATACCTATCGGAAGATCGTGAACTGGCGTCAGACGCTGTACTTCCCCGACGACATCACCTTGGGAACCGAGGCTGAGAACCTGATAAGGAGGTAAGTTATCTTTCGGCCTGGCTTGGATTGCCCTTGCTGACCAACGTTAGCCTTATCTGCAACACGGAGAACCGCTTGGGCCGAGGTGGCGCCCACGAGATCAAGGCCCACAGCTTCTTCCGCGGTGTCGAGTTTGACAGCCTGCGTCGCATCAGGGCACCGTTCGAGCCCAGGCTCACCTCAGCCATCGACACAACGTACTTCCCGACGGACGAGATCGACCAGACTGACAACGCCACCGTGCTCAAGGCGCAGGCTGTGCAGCAGCGCGCCGCTGGCCAGCCTGGCCCTGTGGAGGAGACCCCTGAAATGAGCCTGCCCTTCATCGGTTACACCTTCAAGCGATTCGACAACAACTTCCGCTAAACTCGCTGAACCTGCGGCTGCCCAGCCGTGTGTTTGTGGTCCTGTTCTTTCCTTGATTGCATTGCGTAGAGAGATGACGAAAGGAAGCTTGTCAGTGTTGCATCTGTGTCTGTTCTGTCAGTGTTCAAACGGGCGCTGGAGGAATGAAGGAGTGGAAGAAGTATTAGATGAGCCTGTATGTGACAGGATGAGATGCATGAGGCGGGTGCTGCAACACCCCGACGGAGAGCAGAGCCAAAGATGCTGTTGAGGTTCTAGATGGTAAACATCACCGTAGAACGAATTCAAGCGAGAGAAGGAGGGCTGGCCAAGTGCCACTTCAAGACGGCAGAGTAGACTACAATGCGAAAGGTGTGCAACAGCCAGCCAGCCAGCCAAGGCATCAAGCGTCACGCTCACGCTATCAACATGAAGATTGTCATTGCCTGTTGGTTGCCAGTCGCTCTTGATGAAGTAAAGCTCACAATCTAGTTCCTTTCAGTACACCAAACTCCGCTGTGCCCTTGGCTTGACCCGACGAGGATCGCCTGAGCTGTCCGTACCATAGCATCTCTAGGGGTGCCCATTTTATCACGTACAACAATACAAGCCCTTCTTCCTCTCTCTTTTCCTTTCCCCCCTCTCTCTCCTCCCCTGCTTCACCTCCTCGTACTCAGACCCGGCGCGGCCACGTAGCGCTCCTCGCGCTCGGACATGAACATGACCTGGACCCAGTACTCCTTGGAGTCCGGATCCCAGTAGGAGAATTGCTTGTCGTCGCGCTTGTCGAGCTCGCGCGCGGGTATCTTGAAGCCGCACGTCTCGTACGGCTCGGCGGCGACGAGGAGGTACTGAAAGTTGCGGTCCGGGTCCTCGACGCGCTGGGTGAAGGCGTTCATAACCTGCCAGCGGGGCTCGATGTCGGGCGCAATGTCCGGGTACTGCAGCTGGAAGAGCAGGCCCTGCTGGCGGGTCATGGGGTCGCGGATCTTGGTGATCTTGTAGCCGGGGCGGCCAATCTTGACGAGGTTCCGCCGCGGACCGACGGAGAAGCCGGCGCCCGAGACGCCCGCCGGCAGGCCCGTCGCCGGGTCGATGGCGCCCTTGCCCTCCTTCTGCTCGCGCGCCGCGCGCCGCGCGAGGTTCGTCTGGTGCTTCTTGCCCTGCGTGTGCGCGAGGTACGAGCCGTCGTTCTGGTGCACCGTCAGGCAGAGGCGGCACTCGAAGGACCCGACGTGGTTCTTGAAGAAGTAAGGGTCCTTGTCGAGGTTAATCGTCTCGAGCGCGAGCTTCTTGAGGCGCTCGCGGCGGTCGGCGTTCGAGGCCGACTGCGAGGCGACGCCGCCGCCGCCGAACTTGGAGCCGGCGCGGTTCTGGTAGTCCATCGTGCGAGGTCTGCTTCTGATGTCGGGTGATGGGGAGTGGGTGTTCGGTTCGTGTGGGCTGTCGAGAACGAGTTCGCGCGGATGCTTATGGTTAAAATGTGGGAGGTCAAAGGTTGTCAAGCGTAAGGCTGGGGCGTCGCGAATCAGTCTTGGATTCGTTGACGGGGCTGTTCACCGAGGAGAAGTTCTCGGTGAGGGGCGCTAGACAGCTGACCGAGGTGAGGCGACCAGTTGGCACCACACTACATCCCCATCCCAAACTGCGAAAGTCGACACTTGTATTGGGATTGCCCAGAAAAGACGCTGTTGATGTGCGTAATTCCTATATAATTTGGAGAAAGGAAATATATAAACTGGCCGCCTTTAAGACGGTGGTGTGTTCTTGTAATCACAACGTGTACTTAAAGAGGCCCAACCACAAACATCTTGTCTGTCTGCCTCCTGCACATGTCGTTCGGTTTTGGCTCTCTCATTATCAGCAACCGCGCACTCACGTGTCAACAGTCCAAGACTGCACGTAAAATGAGGAACATAGGGAAATGTCGGCGCTGATAAAGGGAGTAAACCATGGAACGCGAAGGATCGATCCTACTCGGTGCCAAGCAGGGATGACTGATTTAAAGCTGCGTTTACTTTCCTCACTGCACCGATGACTGCACAGACATGTGTTGTCAGACAGAATAATCACTAAAGGCGTTGTGCGCACATAATATCGGATCTCGTATCCGTCTGTCTACTCTACTTGTTTACACATTAAATACGATCAAGGGCTGACGGCCGCCTTAATACCTCCCACGCGGCACTCTGGCGCGTTGCCTCGTGATGTCTCACCCACCTTATCCTGAACGCCGTAGAAATTTCAATGATTGCTCCCCGCCGTGTTATAGTAACGCTCCGCTCTTTCAGAGCATGGCCTTAGCGTGCTCCCTTGCACCCGTCGTCGCCGAGCGCAGGGCGGCACCAACCCTTGTCTCGAGGGTGCTGCGCTTCGTGTCGTTCCCCGGCAGGACTTGGGGCTCCTCGACCCAGCCCCGGGACGCGGCGTCCTTGATGCCCTCAAACCAGATGGCAGCCATCTTCTCAAAGCCGGCGTCGCCGGGGTGGATGTCGTCGACGAGGTCATCGAGGGTAGGGCCCTCGGGCGCGTGGAAGTCGACGAGGACGACCTTTTTCGAGATGGCCTGCTGGGCTTCGACGAGGGCGCGGAACTGCTCGTTGACGCCGCGGACGCACTCGTCGACGGACGCGACCTTGTTGACGAGCAGCGTGCTCAGCACGATGCTGACGCGCGGCGAGGCGGCCCATACGGCGCGCAACATCTCGAGCATCCTGTCGCCGGCCGTCTCGGGCTCGCTGTTCTGGATGCAGTCGTTCGTGCCAGCGTTGATGAGGACGAGGTTCGGCAGCGTGTCGGGCAGAGACTCCTTGGCCTTCTCCGTGACCTGGGCGATGCGGTAGCCGGGCCAGCCCTCAACGTCATTGTCCGCCATGTCGCCGCCCTGACGAGAGCCGACGTAGTCAACGGGGTTACCGTCGACGTTGAGGAGGTCCTTTAGGTACTGGCGGTAACCGTTGCCAGTGGAGGAGCCCTCGCCGTAGGTGATGGAGGCGCCGAGGGGCATGATGCGGAGGGAGACGTTGCCAGCGACCAGGGCGCTGAAGCGAGGCTCATGGATGGGGGCTGGGGTAGGAGCCGCATCAGCTGAAGGATATGTTAGTAATGATTAGTACAGAGGCAAGTGAATGAAGCATACATGCGGTAGCCCACAGAAGGCAGACGCATTGCAAAAGACGAAGCGTAGATGGCATCTTGAAAGGTGTTGTTTCGCGAGGAGAGGCTTCGCGTTTGACTGATGAAAGGATGGTTGGGTGGTCTTGATGATGCCTCAATGGCGCCTTGCCGAACTTCGTACGGGAATCAGAGAATCTGGGGAGGAGCAGCAGCAGACAGGCCTTGTCGTCGATTGTTGAACCTGTCAAACCCCAAGACATGGCGGCGGGGGGGACCCAGGGTTATACGCAATGCGCAGTCCGAGAGAGCAGCATGACGGTCCACAAGCCATTGACCGACCCCCTGGACCGGTTCCGCGACAAGACCTCCATTGATCCTCCCCAATGAAAGGGTGTCCCATCAGCAATTAGCGTTGGACGAGGTGTCGAGCGACGTCAGTCAGGGAATCGGATCCTGTGCTTGGGTCGCCCGATCCACCGTGCTCTGGCCCGACGAGGCATTGTAGTGGCAGATCCCCAATCACGATGTCTCTCGGGACGCGAGGGGCACGCAGGGAAGGGCCCGCCGGCCCACGATTCGACGGCAGAGGGGGAGAGGTGAGATAGAGTAGCGTGACATGTAGCTGAGGTATCGTCGTCGTCATGGCTGCGCTGTCCTTGGCTGTCAAATCAGAGGCCGGACCAATGTTGTCGTTGTACATGTATGGTACCTGGGAAGACGGTCGAAGCCTTCGATGCTGCATCGACACGACGGCCAGCGCATCACCAGCCTCCTCCCATTCTCTGTCTAGGGGCAAGGCTCTGTTTATTTGCTTCGGCGGTCGGACGACGGGCACATGGCCAGGAGCATGGGAAGGATGTAAATCCGAGACCAGAAGAAGCCTCTCCCAAACAAAGGAGTCTATCAATCCCTGCGGTGCTGGGCAGTGTCAGTGGAGGTGCCGGGGGGGATGTCGGTGTGGTCGTATGGCCGAGGGGTTCTGTTTGTGTTGTCGGTTTCGAGGACATTCCAGCGAGCAGGCCCCTGAAATTCCAGCCTCCCGTGCCCCTCTTCCCCAAGGCCAAGGGGACCGCACTGGAGGCGCGCTATCCGGAACAACCCCGACGGATCTAGGGGCCTTGCAGCGTCTCACAGAGCGCAGCTGGTGCTACTGTCAGCTAGCTGCCCTTGTCCCTCGATCAGCACGAAGCCTGCCCCCCCAGCCATCGTTACAACCTGGCGGCTGACTGCCTTTTCCACCCTGCAACTTCCAGTATCGTATCTATCAATTCGTCCAACCTCTCTCACTCCGACTTGCTTTCTCTTGTGAAGCTGCCATACTTTGGTTCGTTTTTCGAGCCACCAGCACACATACAGCCGCCTGCAGTCGACACGTGTAGTCACCGTCACAGCCTCACGCCATCACTTTATGCTGTCGATCCCGGCTGGAGACTGGTCCCCCCCCCCACCTCTGCCAACCTGATTGAAATCTCCGGCCGGGCTGTCTGCAGATCCCGCCCTGCGCATGCTGTGAAAAGGGGGTGCAGCCAGGGGCTGCCCCGCCAGCCGACGCACATCGTCATCAACAGGCACCCCGCAGGTTTACATGCTTCTTGAGGTATCCCCCGTCTCCTAATGAGGTTGAGGTAGGGAAGCCTCGCCACTTGAAGCACATCATACGCGTGGTTGGATCTGTAAAGACGTGGCACATCTTTCGTCTAACAAGTTCGGCACTGCCGGACAACACAGAGGGCCTTCGTAGCAGAAGGAACAAGTGAACTGAATGAGCGTGTTGATGGACTTGCCATTGTCGAAAAGGTAGGTGCAGGCACCAGCAGCCGCCATCATGACACTGCAAGGACCTAGGAAAGGCTTCGACGGATGTAGTGGCATGGGAGGCCGGAGGAGAAGAGTTGGCCATGGCATAGGATTGGCTTGGTAAAGGCTCCCGCAGGGCTCGCAGATCTGAAGCATCAATGCAGATGGTTCGGATTGACGTATGCCCATACGACCTTCAACATGCGGACTCAAAAACAGGGAAAAGCCTTTAACTCACACGTGATGGGGTTCCAGCAGAACCAAAGGGCCGAAATCGAGGGTCTCAAACGGATGTGAACCTAGCGCATCAGGGCGGACCTCTTTCCCTGAAAATTCCCTCTGGAGAGATTTCCCTTGTATTCCCTTCCACATTCACTGTCGTGGGACTGATATCATACTGCCTCGGACTGTTCAGGAGGGAAAAATTAATTGACAGAATCTTTAGAAAAGCGCAAGCGTTAGACGTCGATTCTGAGTTTTTTAGTTTGGTTTTTGGGCCATGCATGACATAATTGTACGCGGCGAGACTTGCTGCAATACATTCAACAACATGAGTGTTCCGATTTCCTACACAATCACAGTAAAAATTGCTGCTGTGAGAGAGGTACAACTGTAGGAGTGCCTAGCTCGGAAGCATTGCTGGGGGAGTGCGAGCGGTTTAGTTCCTCTAACGTTCTTCCGCACGCAAAATTCAACCTGGCTTGGCAATTGCGGATGTTTACATCTCTAATTTCCAACCGTCGCCTCGTGATCAGCGTCGAACCTGTTACCATGAAGCTTGGCATTGTCGATAATGCTACGCAGAGCCACTTTGTCGTCCTCCGTGAGTTCGATGTCTCTGGATGCCCAGTTTTCCTCCAGACGCTTGACCTTGGTCGTTCCCGGAATGGAGATCAAGCCCTGAGCTGCCACCCAGGCAAGAGCAATCTGAGCTAAAGTGCACCCTTTTCCGAACCGCAAGCTCCTTAATCTCTTCCACGATGGCCTTGTTCTTGAAAAAGTTTCGCCCTGGAATTTAGGAGCTATATGTTCACCAGACATTAGAGACTCGATTCGTTTCGTCTGCTTGTGCTCCAATATCAAGGACAACTTACAGACGCGGCGGAAGTCATCCGGCGCAAAGTCTTCGGGGGATTTATACTGGAAGTCGTCGACAAGGAAACCGTGGCCTAGGGGACTAAATGCTACAAAGGCAACGTGGAGCTCTTTGCAGGCATCGATCAAGCCGTTCGTCTCGTGGACTGTTTCAAAAGGGGAGTATTCCGCTTGGACGGCGTCTATCTTGGCAACTGCGAATTACGGAGCCTCTGTTAGTGGCGATGATTGAATTTGAATGGCCGTAACCTTACTCAAGTTCGCTTTACGGAGTGTCTTTGCCGAGCATTCCGAAAGTCCAATGTACTTGGTCTTGCCAGCCTTTCTGAGTTCATCAAGAGCAGTAATCGACTCTTCGAGGGGGGTAGCTGCTGGAGTCAGCCTAATACAGGTCATGGCATATTGGCCAAGCCCACGTACCAGGATCTATGCGGTGCAGGTAATATAGGTCCGGAGCGAACCCAAGCCTCTCGATCGTGCCTTCAATATACTCTCTTATGTGAGACGCCGAGTTGGTAACGCGTCCAGAGCCGCCGAAGACGTCAAACCCGCATTTGGAGGCAACTAGCCATCAGGCCATCCGTCAGTGATGTTGTGCTTGGGATGTGACATCAGCCGCTGGCCCCTCACCGAAGACTTTATCGCGAACGTTATGCTTCCTGATGAAGTTGCCAAGTAGCTTTTCGTTAATGCCGGCTCTGTAGACAACCTTGAGGTAACCCTGTTAATATTTTGCACTGGCTTGTAGCGAATATGTCGAGCTGGGGCGTTGAGCATTGGCGACCTACAGCTGTGTCCCAGAATGTGCATCCCAGTTCTATGGCCTTCAGCAGGACTGGCTCGGCTTCCTCAGGGCTCAGGTTCGCGCCCATGGCAAAGTTGAGACCCATGGCACCGAACCCAGGAACCGGCACCTCGATGTCCGCGAAGGGAAGCGTTCTGACCATTTTGTTGGTTGTAATGAATCGTGTCGTAGCAAAGACGAGATAACAGATGTATGGGCCTCATAATTCTGAGCTGCGGCGCAGGTCAGGATCGTACCCTCTATTATACTTCTCACAGCGATAGCAAAGGTTTGTTCCGGGAGGCTTGGCAACCACGGACTCATGCTAGGACTTAAGCTATGTCCGCCCAGGTCCATCCTATGGTGTTAACTAATGTCTATGACTGGTGTAGTGCCACGACTGTCTAGCCGGCATTACTACGGAGCAATGACGAGGGGGACTTTGCGTGCTTTCTCTATTCGGCATGACTGTATGATCATTGGCTATTGCTCTATCGGACGTTATGGCGACAATTTCAACATGTCAACGGATATCTTTCTGATCCAGGGTTGATTTATCTAGCGCGATCGACTCATGTCTACCAGGTCGAAACGCACGCATCTTGTCATGTCTGGGGCTGATACGCTGTACTTGAACACCACAGTGGCGGGACCGAGGACGCTTGCTTGTCCGATCGGTTGGAGTAATATATACGGCGAGAGTTTTCCAGGGCTGACGGCGGGCTCTATTGGTAAGCCACAAGCGTGTGGGGATAGACAATGTGACGATACGTACAAGAACGCTCACTGGGAGTGAAGACACCGCGGCCGCGATACATTTCTGATATTATCCTGCGGTTGTGCAGCTGCTAACATTGAATGGCTTGTATTGTAGTTGATCTGCTGATAGGCGTTCAGATGAGGGAAACAATCGGAGGGAGCTAACGAGACACTATTGCTCTCAAACGAGGCAAAAATCCCAGAGGATTGTTTTCCATTTCTAGCCTAGCGCACCCCAGTAAGTTCTAGGTTGTAAAGGACCGCGGTTCCTGTATTGTTTTCCATTTTTCGTCTAGCGTAGTACTATTCCGAGGACAGGAGACAGCACGGTCGCGTAACCTCCTGATACAATCAAGAATAGGTGATTATGGCACAATCACGGGACAGTGATGACGTTAGAGCCTACCAGGCTATTAACTTTATTCCTTTACAGCGTGACCGTGTGGTATCGATTACAGCGTAATATCTTCTGGCCGACTTGCTCCGGTGCGGGACAGGTCACACCCCCAGGCGCTTGTTCTGTCGCAACCCTCGGTTACCTCGTCCGATGTCAACAGACAAACAAGCCCATAGCAAGGCCGAGAACACGCAGCAAGAGAATCCGTACAACATATTCATCACCGTCGGTCTGCCGAGTTCTTATTGACCATTCAAGAACAAACGGGAACATTGGAAGAGATTGCAGGTCACACAGGGTACACACGATCAGCACCACTTCCCCTCTTTTCGTTGTTATATGTACAATCGATGCATCCACGTGATGTTGCTGAGGGGGGTGTCGCGTGAGCCAACCTTTTGCTATCGAGGTTTGGCAACTGTAAGAGCGGACCAGTGAAAACATGGAGAAGCAGTAGCCGTGACTGGAGCTTCGTGGGAGCTGAACGCTCTCGTGGACATGTCCTACTCAATTCACGAAGGCGAACCCTTGACCTGTCCCGCTGATGTGGTCTTGATACCCTCCAAAGTCGAGCCTAAGAACTGCCATGAAGACGCACTTTGGATGCGAAAATAAGTGTAGCCTATAAGGGGATACGTAGCTTGTGCATCTCCGACAACCCAGGTGTCCTTTGTACCTACATCACCAATAGTCTTGTTCTAAAGCTATCATGGCAAGCCCGCAATTCAGACTTCCCTCGCCATCGAGCGAGCGCTCTCCATTGTTGCCCTTCAAAGGTGCATTCCCTTTCAGATTGATGCAACGAGCAAATCATGCTGACCACATCCAGATCCTCCAGGCTCTCGCGACCCATCCGCCAGCCGCCTCAGCAAGTCCGAGATCGTCGCGGGACCGTCGTTCTCTGTGGTGGGCTCAACGCAAGGCCCGAACGCCGAGCACCTACGCTTCTTCCGCCGTGCCCTGGGCATCCACTCCGGAGCCGCTACCTCTTCCGGTACTGGTGACCTCGAACGCAGTCATACGGCCCCGTCCACCGGCACCTACGCCTCTATCCTCCGCGAGCACGCGATAAAGAAGTGGCAGCGTCGCATTCTCACTGCTACCATCTACGCTTGCCACATCGCACAGATCATCATCGGTGCAGTCCTCACGGCCCTTGGACCCTCATCTGCGATTCACGCCGTCAGCATCACCATCCTCGGAGCGACAAACACCACCGTCGCGGGCATAATGGCTCTCGTCAAGGGACAGGGGCTTATGCAAAAGCTGAAAAATGAGGAGCTCGAGCTTATGCAGGTCAAGGGATGGGTCGAGGAGACCGAGGCTTTGATGGAAGCTGGCATCGTCGGCGGTGATCGCGAGGAGGTGAGCAGGCTCGTGGCGGAGGGATACAGGCGGTACAGGGCCGTCATGACGGAAGGGAAGCCTTCGGACGGGCTGGGATTGCGAACTAGCGATGATCATCGCGTCGCCGATTCCTGGCGGCGAAGCTGGGACAGCGCAATTGGCAGGATGCGTCGCCAGACATAAGCTTCTGTCAACCATGAGTATGCACCGAGAAATGGGACGTCGAAAAGACGGTTGCTCACAGAAGTCGATCTGTGTTTTACCATTTTATGATAGGATATTCTCAATTTGCACCATGTGATTATATCAAACTCTCCCGGCCGAATCATGCTATCCCACCACATCCGAGTCTTTCCTGATACCGGCTCCCCCAAGATGGCAACAAAGGGCATATCATTCCGGTCACCCCCTTTTCACCCTCATTAAAAGCACCCATTCTTGTACCCCCCCAGGACCGTTGCAGAGGGGCCTTTGCCCGAAGCCCACCCTTCAGGGCACTTCCGCCGCCCTTTCTCGGGCCGCCCCCTCGCCGAA